CATCGGTCCTGCTGCACCTCACCACTGCCAGCAGCAGAGGCCTCTCGGCAGCTTGTTTGCACCCGTTGACGCGACGATCTTTGATCAGCGCGCAGCGCTGACAGTCGAGACGTCCTCAAGCCGCAAACGAATACGTCTGCGCATTAAGCCCTGGAAGGAGGCGCAAGAACACTTGGGCCGCTTGGCTGGAGAAATGGGACGAGGAGGACGAGGACGAGGAGAACGAGAAGGAGGACGACAACGAGGACGACCACGAGGACGACGACGACGAAGAGGAGGACGACGAGGACACTCCGCCACAGGGGGCGCTCCTGGCAGATCCCACCAGTATCGCTCGGCACCGCCGACCTCGTGAAAGTGCGCGGCATCTGGACGCCTAGTGCGGGCGCGCGCGCGGCACGCGGGCGCTGGGAGGGGGGCAGGCGGCGGACGGCGGCGGCGCTGATGGCACTTGCTCCTCCTCCCCTCCTCCTCCTCCTCCTCCTCCTCCTCCTCCTCCTCCTCCTCCTCTTCCGCTTCTACCTCCTCCTCCTCATCCTGAAAAACTTTCGACGTTTCCCGCCCTCCCGTCAGCGCCGCGCTCCCGCCGCCGCCGCCGTCTCGGCCCGAAACAGCAAGGCCGAGAGCCGGCGGCTGCGGGGTCTCCCGCGACAGCCCGCCGACCGCCGCCGCGCGGCAACCAGCCTGCATACTACTTGATCGCGCCCGCCGAGACGCTGCTGCAGATGAACATCGTTTACCACATCCCCTGCACTACTGTCACCTCCATCGACGCGGACGCCGAGGGAGGAACATTCCGCACCACCTCCTCCACCCATTGCCCTCATAAAGAACTCCTCCCTGTCGCGCCCCTAGACGTGTTGGCAGGGTGGGCCAGGCGTTTGGTTTGAAGTAACCGGACCGTATACTATCATGAAGCCTGGAATCTGCAGCTGCTCAACAAACGAAGAGGGGGTCCAAATGGAGCTCTCGCCGTGGCGCCACGCACGTTCGTGTTACATGTTCGCACCACCTACAAGGATGAAAGAGTCTTTCAACATTGAGGTATAGCATTAGTGCTGCGCACATTCGTCTGAATGGCCCACAGCCGAGGCAACAGCACAGACCATTTGCAAAATGAAGTTCTCGCCTCAGCGCCGCGCACCTTCGTCTTAAATGTCTGCGGCAACTTAAAGGATGGAAGTTGCCTCCTTTTCAAAATGGGGTTCTCGTCATAGTGCCGCACATGCTCGTCATACTAGCTGTAACAGGTACCAAGACGGAGGGCGACTCCTGTTCAAAATTGGGTTCTCGCTTGGCGCCGCGCACATTCGCCATGCAATGTGATTAACAATGAAAGGGATTGTAAGGACGGCTCCTGTTCGACATGGAGTTCTCGCTTGAGCCTTCCAAATTTCCACCGACAAGAAGCTTGACCATATATAGCAGCTGCGCAGATGAAGGCAAATATGTTTCAACATGGGGTATCGCATGAGAAGTCGTCGAAGCTCCCGAATTGAAGCGTAATCTTGTGTAACAATTAAAAGGATCGGCGAACCTTTTTTCCAAAACCGAGACAACGTTGGCACCCCGATAAACTGTATGATCATACCGATTCGCCTTTTCACAACACACTAGAAAGACAAGGAAAGCATGCTTCAAAACGGGGCTCTCCCCTGAATGGCGTGCCCATGGGGCTGTGGTCATTCTAATGGGCGCTCCTTGTAGTGAAAATGAAACCTTGTAGGGATTTATGATAAGGTAGATTGGGTCGGGAGGCGTATTGCAGCATCATCGATGCATCCTGGGTTTGCTCTCATCCTCCTCGTCCTCCCCACCTTCATCCTCATCCTCCTCCTGCTCCCTCCTCCACCACCAGATCCCTTGATCCTCCCGTGCTCCCCTCCTCTGCCCGTCTCCTCTGCCCCCCCCCCCTCATCTGCCCTCCTCCTCTGCCCCCCTCCTGCCCCTCCCGCAACCCCCCTCCCCGGCACTCTGGCCCTCCCCCGCTCCTCCGCTCCATCCCTTGGAAGCAGCCGCGTGGCCGCGAGCCCTTCCAGTGCTTGCCCCCCGCGCGCGCGCGCGCACCCTGAGGACCCCCCATCGGTGCGAATCCAGCCGCATGCAGCTGCAGTCTGCTGGCAACCTCGACCCGCCGGTAGGAGAAGAGAGAACGGCACAGACACGAATCGGGGGCGCGCAAACATGGACTAGCGATCCACGGATTTGACGCGCCGTCAAATCCATGGATCGGGGAGTGCCGCCTCGTTCGGCGGCGGAGATCCGCGATTTCCCATGGAAACGGGACCCGTCGCTAATCCACGCCCCCTTGATCCATGTTTGCGATCGCCTGAAATATAAAAAAACGGCATAGACCTAAACTTGTGGGGCTCCGCGCGGATTCCTTGGATCTGCGCCAGGGGCGGCGCCGGAAGCGACGCCGGGGGGGGCCACTGCGCGATGCAAAAAATCCGCGCGGAGCGCCGAAAGTCTATGTTTATGCCATTTCCTCTGCTTCTTCGAGCCTGTGCCATCGAGCAAGGGCGACAGGGAATGGGAGGACGGGGACGGAGGCGAGGAAAGGGGCACCGGGGGAGGGGGGGGGGCGGGAGCCGACCTCGCTGCCTTCTCTCCCCCATGGGGCTCGCCGCTGAGAGGCCTTCTCGGTGAGCCTTCCGAGAAGGACCGCCCCCTCCCTCTTCCCCCCTGGGGGCGCCGCCGAGAGCGGCGCGAAGAGGCCCCTCCTTCGGTGGCAAGTCATGGGAGCCTCCCACATACCATCTGGTCGGCTCGTGCGAGTCGCTAGCGTCGACGCTAGTCGACGCTAAATCGACGCTGATCGACGCTAACCGACGCTAAATCGGCCCTATCTCATCGACTCCCAAACGCGAATCGACGCTAATCGACGCGAAAAGCGGAACTCAGAGGGTACACGAGGCTCCCATGATTTGCTACCGAACCTTACCTAGGCGGGGGGGGGACCTGCGTCATCATGGCAGGGCGTCCGTGGCAGCTGGGCGTTCAGGATCTCGGGCAGCCTGGTGGAGATCATCAGCTGGCCAACGAGGGTTCTGTATTCCTGCGACCCCTCGCCCAGGGGAGGAGGGGAGAGAGGGCTGCGAGCGCGAAGCGGCGCCATCGACAAAAGAGGGAGCGGATGCCTCGAGGGCGTCGCCCTCCCCATCCTCTCGCTCCCCTCCTCCCTCCCTCGCCCTCCCCCCCCGCGCCTTCTGGACCACTGTTCGCGCACAGCCCGCCCATCATCCCCGCCGCCTCCACGCACGCCGCACGCTCTGCACAAGCGCGGCTACACGCGCAGCACACATTGGAGACAAGTTCGGAGGAGCAGGAGGAGCAGGAGCAGGAGCAGAAAGATAGGCAGCTCCACCGCTCTGACCGGGCGGACCATCCATGGATCCGCCGACCCCTTGGGGTCATCGGCGTGTGAGATGCTGAGCCAGCCCCGGCTGAATGTCCACGGGCCTCACGACGGGCCATGAGGGCCCCAAGAGGCCCACGCGATGGTCCAAGAGGGCCCCGAGTCGCCGATGGGTCGTTCCAAGACGCCCAAGATGGCCCCCAGACGGCCCAAGAGGCCCCCGAGAAGCCACAAAAGAGGCCCCCAAGAGGCGCCCCAAGAGGGGCCCCAGAAGCAAAAATCGTCCACAACCTTAGGGAAAGGTATGATTTTTGCGCATTCGCCTCTTGGGCTCTCACAACGTCCAAGACGGCCCAAGAGGCCTCCAAGATCGCCCCAACCAAGACGGCCCAGGAAGCCCCCAAGAAGGCTCCAAGACGGTCCAAGAGGGCCCCAAGACGGCCCAAGAGGCCCCCAAGACGGCTCCCGGAGGGGGCCCAGGCGGGGGACCCGATCGGAAACTTCGAGCCCTCGGCCCCAAGAAGCCTCCAGGAGGCCCCAAGAGGCCCCCAAGAAGCCCCCAAGAGGCTTCAAGAGGCCCACCAGAAGTCCAAAAGAGGCCCCAAGAGGCCCCAAAACGGCCCCCAAAAGGCTTCAAAAGTGCTGCCGGGAGGCCCCCGAGAGACCTACCAGGAGCCCCCAAGGGGTCGGCGGTGCGGCGTAAGCCCAAGAATCATCATCCCCTCCATCAACCACTCTCTGACCAGGTGGGCGCAAACTCTTTGCTTCAGCTGAGCTTAATACTATGCCTTTTTCACAGTGCCGGGCCTTTTTCCTGCTGCGTCCCCCTAGGTCTAATTTGTAGGCCACCGCGCTTGGGTCGGATACATTCTCTGCATTTCACCGATGTTTCATGCTGAACGTTGCGTGCCTCGGTGCTTAGAGCCTGGCCAACGTCAAAAGATCCACCAGCCCGAGCTCGGGGCTGCCGTGCTGGAGTCTGGCGCCAGGATGCAGGTGCCGGGGGGCAGGCCCGTGGCTGCCAACACGCAGAGGAGCGTCTCATGGAAGCGGCCCTGTTCCCTTTGCGCCAGAAAGGCGACATGTGGCCGGCTGCAGAAGGGAGCGGGAACTAGATTGGTGTCCCAAAACGGTGCTGTGACGGACCGTGAGGTGACCCCGATGCCCCAAAAGGCCTCACCGCACGGTCAGTCACCGTGTGGTTTCGTTGACCCTGAGGGCTCCAATCGCCTGAGACGTCCTCGGAGAACGACCCAAGTCGCAAAACCGTTCGGTCACCCCAACGCTCTCCACTGACTCACCCTACGGTGTGGGCACCGCACCGGTCGGGGATTTCCGAGCAGCCTACCCCCCCCCCCTGGCAAAAGCCAGTGCAAGCAAGACGAGGGCAGCTCCGCTGGCAGAGGCTGGCGGAAGAAGAAAAAGCGAGCAACCTGGAAGAGGTCAATGAAGGCGTGCGTGCCCAGGTTTTCCAGAGCTTGCCCCATGCTGAGGCTCCGGGTCTTAGTGGCCTTTACCCGGTCTTCCTGCTTCTCTCCAACAAGACTCTTTTTTCCCCGTTGCACCGTTCCCCCCCCACATCCCACCAGCAACAGACCGGCCCTGCGGAAGAACTCCACGAACTCGTCAAAATCCATACAACCTCGGGCGGCATCGGACATAACTACGGAAATACATAGGCAGAGAAAACAGAGACGGAGAGGCAAAAACCGAATACATTATTCGATAGCATGGAGAACAGGTACGGAAAGGACGGAGATTGACGAGAGATGCAGAGGTATGCCATACATATGATGTAGGCGGGATGGGCGAAGACTTTGGTTTGCGATGGGCATCTCGTCGGATTGCTAACATGTCCGCTGTTTTTGTCCTATAAAAGGAAGATTACTATTCTAACTCATCAAAGTATTCGAAAATGAAAACTGCCATTATTATCGCACCTGCCCTGACATACTGAGCAAGTCTAGCCCTTTTTAACATAATGATGATAATTTCCTCTAATACGTGATAGAACGAATAAGAAAAGTGATAACAAAAGTCTCAGTGTTACAGCGACTGTACGAGCGACCATACAAGACGATTGAAAGCAAAAGCCTCAGCATTATAGCGGTAAAAATTATTCGAATACGTGTGGCTTTCAAACCTCTAACCAGCAACCTGGGCGTAGGTGGTCTAGATAATTTCCTCTTCTGACCTCCTCCTTCGTCCTTTTCGGGGATGGGGATACCCTTCATCCCTACCCACCACCCTGGTCTAGAAGGCGGCCAAGATGGCTCCAAGATGACCTTCAATAGCCAAAGATGTCCTCCAAGATGGCACAAGATAGCTCAGGGTTGGCTCAAGATCGCTTTCACCATGCCTCCGACTGAGCACGAAGCCTCCCAACCATATCCCCAGGAGTCACAAATCAGTCAAAGACCTCAGGCTTCTCGGTGAGATTCGCCTTCTCGCCTCTTCGCTACCGATGGGTTTCTGATGCCTCAAGATGGCTCCGAGATCACCGGAGAGCGACCAAAGAAAGGACCATAAGGGCGCCCCCAGAGCACACGACAGCGCCCCGCTGCGGCCCAGACGTCGACGCTGACATCGACGGCTGGTTCGAAACCGACTTGCACACGGCACGCGTCGTCGACGAACTGCACTTTCCCCACATCTTCTGCGCTGCCCTGGCGACGCGCGCGAGCCCCAAAGAGTGCCCCGAGAGGGCCCCAAGAGGCGACCCGTCGGGCTTCGACGGGGGCAGGCTAACTGACGCGGCCTCCCCTTGATTGGCAAAGTCGCTGAGAATCCGAAGGTGCTTGAAGGGGTCTTGCGCTCCAGGGGCATCATTGGGATGCTCTGGGGGGCAAGGTGCTCCAAGGTGGCCCAGGATGCTTTAGGGTGGCATCCAACATGGCACAAGATGACGCAAGTTGGCTCAACATGGCTTCCAGCATGCCTCCAAGAGGCCCAAAGACGGCCCCTTTTGCTTTCGATGGTCTTCCCAGGCCTCAAGGTTGCTCCAAGATCGCCAAAGATCACCCAGAGAAAGTGCAATAAGGGCGCCAAGAATGCCCCAAAACCGCCCAAGAGCGCTCCAAGAGAGCCCCCAGAGGAGATGTGCCTGGGATATTTCCGGCTCCGATGGAGGTAGGCACATTCAGGCCGCTAATGTCTTGATCGACGGCGTCCTTGATCAGCCCAAGGCCCCCAAGAGGCCCCCAAAGTGCTCCAAGAGAGTGCAGTAAGCCTCCAAATTGGCCCTGATAGGGCCCCAAGATTGCCCGAATAATCTTCCAAGAGGCTCCCGCATCGAAAGCTCTGCGAAGGCATGTACTGTTGACAGATGGATATGCTAAGGCTGATCCTGATCCTGAGATTCGGTTTGACGAATGCTCCCCTCTACGTTTCACTGCTTTCTCCAACACTGCCCTGATCAAAGCAACTCGCCAGGGCTTCGTTTCAACATGGGCTGGTGAAGACACTTGAAGCGCGAAAACGCCCCATCATTGGTGAACCCACAACTATCATTGTTCTAATGTGTGACAGCTGTTCAAATCCTTCTAACTTTGTATCTCTCCCAAGAATTAGAGCCTTTCGCTGGCGCTCGGCTTGAAAACAAAACAGAGCCCCTTCGAAACCGGGGGGGGGTCCCCCTCCTGAAACGGGGTCGTCGTCGTCGTTCGTTGCCGTCGTTTGCTGACGCGAAGGGATTGGAGTGTTGATCCCCTCCCTCCCTCCCTCCCTCGAACGCGAGGGCGGCGGGGGGGGGCTCGGGCTCGTACCCCCCGCAAGCGATCACGCAAAGAGCTCTTCTCTCCCAACCTATCGACATACAACCTGCCTCGGAATAATTTTCTCGTAACGCCGGTCCACGGGACAACGGCGGCTTGCAGCCGGCCGCTTGTTAGCGAGGGCAAGTTGACGTGGAGTTGCACCGCATAGCTTACGCCACAGAGTTTACACCACATGTGGTTGTGCAGGCGCAGACCATGCGAAACACACGTGGACGACCTCTCCAGCCAGATGCCGCCCGAACCTCACCAAACTAGGCCAATCATGAAGACGCCGTGGGCGAAGCCCACCCCGAATGAGCACAAGTAGACCTAATTGTGAGGACGCGTCGAGCGAAACCGCGGCCAAACACACTTCCCCCTCTCTCCCTGCGAAGCGGGAGGGGGGGGAACCCCTGTGCCCGGAAAGCACAAAGGGGGGCACTTAAGCACCCTCCTCGGGCGCGGCCTAACCGACCCCGAGCAAACCATCCCCTTGAAATGACGTCGTCCTCGCCATTCGAGCTCCCCTCTGGCCGCATACATCTACGACTGGGGGCGAGGCGAGTGGGACGTCTCGGGATGGGATGGTCTGCTAGGGGTCGGTCAGGCCGCCCCTGAAAGGCCCCCCTTGCCCCCGGAAAGCACAAGGGGACAGCACAGAAGCGCCCCCCCCTCCCCAGGCAGGTTCAAACGAGGGAGCGGAGGGGGGGGGAGGGAGCCCCCTGCCCGGAACCCTGGGGGAAGGGGGGGAGGGGCGAGGCGCACCGAGCCCTCCCCCCCCACCCCCCCCCCCTTGTTCGAACCGGGAAGGGGGGGAGGGGTACAGACCCCCCCCCACTTCGAACGGGGGGGGTCTGTGCCCCCTCCCCCGACCTTGAATTCAAGGCGGGGGGGTCTATACCAAGGCGGGGGGGATGCGGGGGGATACAGACGCCCCTTCCCGCCGCCTTGAAGTCTAAACCGTTTTTGGGCTTCGCTTGAACTGCGTTGAGCTTTCTTGGAGCTTTGCGTGGGCTTCGTGTTAGCTTGGTTTGAGTTTTGTTTAGGATTTACTTTAGCTTTGTTTGAGCATTGTGTTAGCTTTGTGTGAGTCTTGTTTAGCTCTGTTTGAGCATTGTGTGAGCTGGGTTTCAACTTTGCTTGAGTTTGTTAGAGCTTTGTGCGTGCTATGCTGGAGCCTTGCCTGACCTTAGTTTAAGCTGTGTTTGAGCTTTGTTTCAACTCTGTTGGAACTTCATTGAAGCTTCGTTTGAGCGTTGCGTGAGCTTTGTTTGAGTTATGCGTGATCTTTGCGTGAAATGTGTTTGAGCTTTGATTGAGCTTTGTTCAAGATGTGTTGGAGCCTTGTTTGAACTTCGTATGGGCTGTGTTGGAGCGCTGTTCGAGCTGTGCCAGCTTTGTGTCAGCTGTGTGTCAGCTACTATTCAGCTTTACTTGAGCATGTTTGGACCTATGTGGGAGCTTCGCTGGACATTTTGTGGGGGTGCTGCTCAAACTTTGCTTGAGCTTTATTGGAGCTTTGGTTGTGCTTTGTGTGAGCGTCGTTTGAGCTGTACTTGAGTTTTGTTGGAGCTTTGTTTCAGCGTTGTGTCTGCTTTGATTCAGGCTTGTTTGAGCTTTATTTGATCTTTGCTAGAGCTTTGTTGGCGCCGTGCTTGATCTTTGCTGGAGCTTTATGTGAGCTTTGTGTGAGCTTTGATTGAGCTGTGTTTGATATATGTTGGAGCTCGACAGCTTTGTTTGAGCCTTGCGAGGAGCTTTGTTCAAGCTTTGTTTGAGCTTGATTGGAGCTGTGTTTGAACTTTGTAAGAGCGTTGTTTGAGCTTTATGTGAGCTTTGATGGAGCTTTGTTGGAGCTGTGTTGGAGCTTTCCGTTAGCTTCGGTTGAGCTATGTTTGCGTTTTGCTTGAGCTTTGCTAAAAAGTTGTGTTGGATCTTTGATGAGTTTGTGGAGCTTGGTTGCAGGTTTGTGTGAGCGTCGTGAGCCTTGTCAGAGCACTTGTTGAGCTTTGTTTGAATGTGTTTGAGCCTTACTTGGGCGTTGATTGAATTGTGTTTCGGCTTTGTTAAAGCTTTGTTTGAGCTGTATTGGAGCTTTGTTTGAGCATTGTTTGAGCTTCGTTGTGACTCCGCTTGAGCTGTGTTTCAGCTATATTTCAGCTTTGCTCGAGCTTTGTTTGAGATCTATTTGAAGTTTGTTGAGGCTTTGTTGGAGCTTTGTTGGAGCTATCCTTGAGCATTGCTTGAGCTTTGTTGAACTTTGCGTGAGCTTTGTGAGCCTTGTTGGAGCTTGATTTGATGGTCGAGCCTTGGTTGAGCTTGGTTTGAGCTTTATTCGAGCTTTGTTGGAGCTTTGTTGGAGCTTTGATAGTGGAGCTTTGTTGGGCCTTTGTGGGAGCTTTGCTGGAGCTTTGCTGGAGCTTCGTGCGAGCTTGATGTGCGCTTTGTTTGAGCTTCGTTTGAGCTTTGTTTGAGCTTTGTTTGAGCTTTATTTGAATTGTGTTTGCGCTTTGCTGGAGCTTCGTTGCAGCTTTCCGTGAGTTTTGTGTGAGCTTTGTTTGAGCTGTGTTTGAGCTGCGTTGGAGCTTCGTGAGAGATTTGTTCAAGCTTTGCTGGAGCTCTGTCTTGAACTTTGCTTGAACTTGTTTTTGGCGAAGCGGGCGAGGCTGACCGGCATAACACGGGCAACTAGCCCGTCCGCCTTCTTTTTAGGAACGAACTCGGGCAGGGGAGAGCGCCGCACCCCCCCCCTGGCCCCCCTGGTTGGAACCGGGGGGCGTGCCAGTAGCGGCAGAAAGCGCTCTTTCGGACGTCTCAAGCGAAAACGCGCCGAAACCCAGCCGAACCAGGCGCAAATTGCAAGGACGTCTCAAGCAGAACCACGACG